TCCTAAAAGTTTGTTGTAGGGAAGAGCTGGAGAGATGGTTCAGGGGTCAAGAATATTACTATTTTCAGAAAGGACCTAAATTCCTTAGCACCCATATCAGGAGGCTCATAACCACCTTTACCTCCACCTCCAGGGGACCAGACAACCTCTCTGGCCTCCAAGGTCACATTGCACTCATTTGCATACCTCTTCCCCAACATAGTTAAAATCTTTAGCCAGGCATAGTGGCACACATCTTTAATCCAAACACTCAAGAGGCAGAGGCAGTGGATCTCTATAGCAAATTGCCAGCCAAGGTTATATAGTAAGACTATCTCAAACCAAACAAAAAAGCTTGTTAACAGCAAAAACTTGTATTTAATTAATTATATTAATTAATAATTTAAAAATGTATGTAATTAATAATTAAGATCTTCTAGGAAGACATTTTGCCAAAGAACATGGAAATTGAGTTTGGAATCAGAAACATATTTTCCATGTAGGAAAATCTCAGAAGAAGCAAGCTTATCACAGGTGTAGAGGACAGAAGGGAACCCTGGGAGGTGAGCAGATTCCTTAACTGCTTAGGATCGCAGCACGGAAGCACTTGTATATAGATATTACTAAAATAATAAGACTCTCAGTTCAGACTACTAACAGCCTTTTGTTATTAAAAGAGTTTTACTACATTCTAAATGTTACAACCTCCTACTGTTGCCCGGTGGCAGTGGTGTACACCTTTAATCCAAGCACTCAGGAGGCAGAGGCAAGGGGGCCTGTGATTTTGAGGCCAGCCTGGTCTACAGAGTGAGTTCCAGAACAGCCAAGGCTACACACAGAAACCCTGTCTCAAAAACACTAAATAAAAATTTTAAAAATTATGTGTATGAGTGTTTGTATATGTCTGTGTACCACATGTGTGTAGTGCCAGTGGAGGCCAGAAGAGGGTATCATGCCTTGAGACTGAAGTTACAAACAGTTGTGAGCCACCACTGTGGGATGACTCATCCCTAACAGGCTTGAGGGCCAACTGACCCAAACCATTAAAAAAGATACTTTCTGAGAGCCAACCTGGGTCTGCCTAAGAGCCTTAGCAACAGCAACTGAGACATGATCTGGAGATGACCTGGACCAATGAGGGGCAGTCATGTCACACCAGCAGATGCATATTCATCAGACCTTCCCCCAGGGTGGGGTGGAGGGTATATAAGGGTATTACTCTTCCTGAATAAACTGAGCTTGTTGTTTTGACATTCTCCCAGAGTTTGTGTCATTGACTCTGTGCCTACTTAGCTCCCTCCCCCAAAGGGAACAACAGCACAGGACCCTGCCACACACCACAGGGACTCTGGAATCAAACCCAGGTCCTCTGGAAGAGCAGCAATGAGTGCTCTTAACCAGTGAGCCTCTCTCCAGCCCCTAAGAGTCTACTCTTAAGAATATTTTTTTATGGATTATTGATGTAGTGGTTTTAAAATTCCCAAGCACAAGCAGAATAGCTCTTGTTGCTAAATATATTCTCCACTAAATTGCAGTGGCCAAGCAGGCAGAAACAAGGTCCCTTAGAATGCAGAAGCCTGTGTCAGTTGCCATCTGGTAATGGGAGAAATGAATTCTGTGTTTAGAAAAAGGCAGGTTGGGGAAAAACAAGAGCAGCACTTCTTTTATGCATGGATCTTATTTATGGAAGAATTTCTTTCAGAGGACTTAATCCTGGAGGTGGGGATTGTTTGGGTGGGAGCTCCATCTCAACCCCTGGCACCCTGGCATTCCTATACCCAAAGAGTCTGGAATGTTTGGAAGGAGTCTGATGGAAGATCTACCTCAACTCCCCTCCCCATCCCTTTCCCTAAACCTGCCACTTCAGAGCCCACCAAACACAGCTCCTCCCCTAGAGAGGCTCAAGACCACTCCCACAGGGTGTATAAGCGGCATCCCTGAAAACAGGCATCCCTGAAAACAGACACGGTTCTTCTGGTCACTTGGCCTGTCTCCTCTCTGAAGAGCCAGGAATCACCTGCGAGGGCTTTACCCATTAAACCTGGGCTTTTCCAATTCGGTCTGATTCGGTTTGCTGTGTAGGCAGAGAGGCCTTCAGGAGGCCCAAAACCTACCAGGGATACTTCATGAGGCAGCTAAAGTGTCAAGAAGTCTCTTGAGTAATTTACACCCACGGTGTGAAGGGATGATAGCAGCAAGGGACATTGAGCTATTTGGTTGGACTAACAGCATTAGCATTTTCTACAAGCCCTTTTTGACCAAAGGCTCTCTTCCTGGCAAGTCATAAAAGCTTTCAAGTTTTACTCACTGCTAATACATATCAATGGAAAAATCTTTCAGTCATGCTCCACCCCTGGGCCCATTTTTTTTTTTCTTTCATTTCTTGAGACAGAGTCCTGGTGTCTCACCCAGGCTGGCCTAGAACTCATTCTATAGCTCCAGCAAGACTTGATTTTGCAGTCCTTTTAGGAGTTGGTGGGATTACAGCTGTGTGCCACCAAGTCCAATTTACCATTATGGGTTTTGTTTTGTTTTTTTTCGAGACAGGGTTTCTCTGTGTATCCTTGGAGCCTATCCTTGAACTCACTCTGTAGCCCAGGCTAGCCTCAAACTCACAGAGATCCGCCTCTGCCTCCTGAGTGCTGTGATTAAAGACGTGAGCCACCACCACCCGGCTACTTTTTTTTTTTTTTAAGATTTTTATTTTATTGTTTGTGTCTATCTGTGTCAATGTACGTCATGTCTGTGAGGGTACCTGTGGAGGCCAGCAGAGGATGCTGGATCTCCTGGAGCTGGGGTTATAGACATTTGCAGAGTTACCCAAAATGGGTGCTAAGAACCAAGCTCCAGTTCTCTGGAAGAGCAGGAAAGTGTCTTAACCATTCAACCATGGTTCCAGTCCCACTAGACCCCCATTGCTCCTTTTGGTCTCCTTGAGACCAGAGTTTTACTGTGTAGCCCAGGCTGATCTTGTTACACTGTGTCAGTTCACACTGGCCTCAAAGTCCTGGTCCTCCTTCCACAGCCTCCTGGGTGCTGAGAATTACAGGAACCTGTTTCCGCAGCCAGCTCTTCCCATTATTTTAAAGAGGATTTGTCAAGGCCTTAGTCATTGCAGAATTGGCTTCTATGCAAGTCTGTGCCTGAGCCCCTCCTCTCTCTTTCTCTCTGTTGGGGAGGGACTATTGAGCAAGGGGCTCATACAGGCTAGACGGTATGACTTAGCCAGGGTTTCTACTGCTGCGGCGAAACACCATGACCAAAAAACAAGTCAGGAGGAAAGGGTTTATTTGGCTTATACATAGTCCATCATCAAAGGAAGTCATGACAGGAACTCAAGCAGGGCAGGAACCTGGAGGCAGGAGCTGATGCAGAGGCCATGGTGCTGCTTACTGGCTTGCTCACCATGGCTTGCTTAGTCTGCTTTCTTTCTTTTTTTTTTTTTCAAAGATTTATTTATTTATGTATACACTGTTATGCCTGCATGTCTGCCTACAGGCCAGAAGAGGGCACCAGATCTCATTACAGATGGTTGTGAGCCACCATGTGGTTGCTGGGAATTGAACTCAGGACCTTTGGGAGAGCAGCCAGTGCTCTTAACCTCTGAGCCATCTCTCTTGCCCATTAGTCTGCTTTCTTATAGAACCCAGGACCACCAGCCCAGAGATGGCACCACCCACAATAGGCAGGACCCTCCTCCATCAGTTAAGAAAATACCCTGCAGGCTTGCTTACTGCCCATCTTGTGGAAGCATTTTCCTAACTGAGGTTCCCTCCTTTCAGATGACTTTAGTTTGTGTCAAGTTGACATAAAGCCATCCAGGATATAGTATGTTTCATCTTTAGTCAAAATCATATTAATGCAATCAACAAAGAAGACAAAGGATCTACGAGCCTACTTTAGGTTGATATATCCTGGCCAATCTTACTGTGCAATTATACTTTTCAGTTGTCTGATGATAGTGACAAGTGTGTGTAAACTGTATGCATTGGTCTGTCTGTATGTTGGGACTGCTGACTGATTTCTAGAGATTAGGAGGAAATCTGTTCAGAAGAGACTAACAAGGACTGCTAATGCTTGAGACTTTGTTTGGGGATGGTTGCTGTGTGGGGTCATCTTCCATTGGCCATTTCGAACCCTTGCACTGAAATCTTTGCCTGTGTGTATGACAGGAATAACAGATCTGATGGCCGCAGCTGACTCCCAACAGCCGAGCCTCGGAAGTCAACGATTTTTGAAGATGTGGCCATGCACCTCACTAAGCATGCTCGATCAGAAGGCCCTGTACAGGGATGTGATGCAGGGGAGCTCTGCACATGTGGCTTTTCTGGGGTACAGGTCAAAACTAAGCAAACATGCCCTACTAGCTGAAAGGATAATATATGAGGAAAATAAACACTCCTCCAAGCCAGCCCTTCCCTGTGCTGGGAAGACAGGATGAAGGTTTAGTTCCTTAAGCATCTGTTTGCCAAGGAACGAGATTGGACAGCCACGTTAGAGGATGTCAAGTGCGATTTCCTTTGGTAACCATGTGTACTTCCATAAATGTGCTTTGCCGTTCAATAAAGTTGCTCATTTTGATGTGGGGGGCGGGGCAGAAAGGGACTGCTGAAGAAGGTGCTTGGGTGACATTTGCTCTGTGAGAACTGACCTCTGACCTCTGGTCTTTTGTTACAATGCCTCAGAGGAGGAGGGCTGACACCTAGCAGGTGCAATCAGATAGAAGGAATAGGCTAGCCCTCGTCGTGTCTCTGAGCTGATGTTACAGATGTGCCTTCCGGAGGGCCCAATAGTGAGTCATTACAGTTTGTGTGTTTGTCTGAAAGGCAGAGATTTCCTTTGCTTTCCTTGTCCTCTGGGGCTGAAGTCTGCAGTTGCTCTCCCAGAATTCTTCCCCCCTGAAAGCACCACAGAGCTGCTTGATGGAAAGTTGCTTAAGAAATTTAAAAATGATTACTAATTATAAACAACAGGTAAATATATAAATGGAGAGGGCATTGAAGCAATGGCTAGCCAGTAGCTGTATTTAAAAATATTTTATTTTTCTTGAGTGGGTAATACATCTACAAATTTAAAAAGGGGGCGATACAATGAAAAAAATCTCAGTATTTTATTTATCCACCCTGTCACTCTCCCATAAACCATCTTGTTTTCAAGAGTTTAATCCCATAGATATGAAATAACACATGTACAACAGTACTCGTTACAGCATTATGAACAAAGGTAGGCAACGAGATTGTCTGTCAGCGAGGGACTGGCTGAGTAAGTTATGGTTTATCCATTCCATAGAATAGCGTGCAGCTATAAAATGGAATGAGACCATTGATCATTGTTTTGTAGCTCCGGCTATCCTAACTCTCACAGTCCTCTTGCCTCAGCCTTCTGAGTGTAGGCATTATAGGTGTGTGCTACAACACTAGGCAGCGTGAGATAATTCTGTAGGAGCAAGTAGAGAAAAAAAGAATGTAGCTGGATGTGGTGGTACGCACCTGTAGTTCCAGCACAAAGGAAGCAGAGGATCATTGGTTCTAGGCTAGCTGGCCTACCTTGTAAAATTCTGTTCCAAAGGAAGGAAAAAGAAAAGCAGGGGGTGGGGGGTTAGGGGGCCGCATTGTGCAGAACAGCACAGTGTATTATTTCTGTTTTTAATAAAAGGCAATATTTGTATGTGCACACAGCATGTCTAAAGGCTGAACAGGAATACAAGGGGTGACCGACTCTGAGGGCAAGAGCACAGTGCCATCAGGGCATGCTTGGGCAATGGTAGGGCGTTCTCTGAAGGATGGGTGTGAGGTGGAGTGGTGGGGATGAGGTTACTAGCGGTCCACTCCTCTTTAGACAAATAGCAGCACATCTTCCATACTGTTCTACAGCCCCCTTCCCCAGTCTGTCGGGATATCTTTCTTGACAGGGTGTTTAGATTGCCATCATCTTCCTCGAGTATCCCATAGAAGTTGTTTCTAATCTTCTGCTAGTACAAACAGTGCTTTAATAAATAACCTCTCGCGTATGTGATTCCGTATTTGGTGAGAATATGCCTGAATGTTAAAGTTCTAGAAGTGGAATTTTCGGGTCAAAGGTTTAGCTTTGTGCCTGTTATAACCGTGAAAGACATTGCCATAATGTGCTCTTCAGACGCTGTACAACACACGCTTCCAACAGGAGTCATGAGTGTGTCTCAGCAAAGGCTTGCCACCAGCAGTCTGAGCAAACTTTGATCTTAGTCAACCTTTAAAAAGTATCTTCACTATTCTCCCTCTTCCCCTGCTGTGTTAGGAAGGGAACCCCAGGATCTTATGCACCCCAGGTGAGCACTCTACCAACTAGCTAAATTCCCAACTCTCACTGCACTGTAAGTAGCACTTCTGTTAGGAACAAAAGAATACTTTCACTGGTTTTTTGGTCTGCTGAGGATACATCAACTGGATAATGGCCTACAGAAAATTATTTAAGCTTCCTGGGTCTCAGTTTTCTTGCCTGTAAATAGGAATAAAGTAGTAAGTGAGATGGTTGTATGATTAAATGGAATCTATGCACAACACTCGTTACAGTGCTCAGGTATAGCAGGATTCAATAAGTTACATGGCGGCTGGCGATCAGAGCAGCAGGCAGAGCAGGGCAGATTAGATTTAAGAAGTAGCAGTCACCTCCATGTCTTCTGTCACGTGCAGCCTTGTTACATCACCGCCAGTCAGGGAAATGCAGCGAGTCTGCCTTGTCTTAGGATAGTATGGGACCTCCCACACTGGAGCCCGGTCACCGGGGACTGGTGGAACTGGAAGTGGAGAGCACATGCAGGTTCGTTTCTAATCTCACCTTTAGACTGAACCAACGTGGTTCAACACACAGGTACAACAGGAAAGAAACACAAGCACAGAAGAGTCCAGGTGAACATTCCTTTATTCCATCATGCTCCTGAACTCCCAGCTAGCTTGTCTGGAAGTGCTTCTCCTAGAGGGATTCCAGACACTCATTTTTCTGCAGGGAACAAGGGCAAGGCCTTCTGAGCAGAGGCGATCAACACCATTGAAAACGCAGCTTCCTCTGGCAAGACCAAGCCCATCAATTTGGGTTTCACAAAAAGCCCAGAAGAGATTTGGTTCCCGAAGGGAACATGAGTAGCTAATAAAGGTCTTTGGAGATGGGTGCCTCATCTTGCGGCAACCCTCACTACTGGTGCATAGAGGCTATATGGTGGCTTTGAGTAATTTGCCCAAAGCCACTCAGTGTTTTTCAATCTGTATAAATCCTGGCTCCTCCTCTCATATCAGCTCCCCATGGCTTTTGCATTTCTCTCTTGCTGCTTCTCAGGCTCATTTTTCCTCTTCCTTTGTGTTTCTTACACTCAGCAAGTTAGTATTAGTCTTCATCCTCTGAGATGAGGGAAACTGGTCCTCTTCCTGGGGCCACAGACTGTCTACAGGGCGGAGATGTGGCAAAAAGAGCTCACACCAGATTGCCTGGGCGGTTGTAGTTCGGAGAGGTGGCGTGGAGCTATCCCCCAAACTTTTCCAAACCCTGTCTTGCTCCACAGATCGTGAAGGGCCATCCCAGGGCAGAGGCAGCTGCTGTCCCAGTTACGGAATCATCGGGATGATGTGTGGATCACAGCTGGAAAGAGGTGCCTGCATTTTCTGCACAGCCTAAGCGGAGTGGATGAGGACTCTTCTGATGAGCGTCCTACAGTGAGGCCCTGAGGACAGACAGAAGGTAGGCTCTGTCTCATGGCCAGTGGCTGAAGCATTAAAATATTTGTGGTGTCTGAGCCAGGCAATGGCATAGAGGCAGTGAGGGAAGCTCACAGCCAGAGCTAAACTGGAAGAGATTAAAAAAAAAAAAAGCAGGCAAGGCTGACAACCTGACTGCAGAGCCCTGGCCTGATGTCATCCTGCAGTCTTCCCAGCCATGATGTTTGCCCAGCCAGGGAAGCAATCTTAAGTTCCCAGCCTATGGCGGAAGCCATTTCCAGAGAGCTAGCTGCCCCACGGCGATCCCTCACGTTTACTCCTTGGCGGCACAGTGTGGGGGGCCTGGCTCTGCCACGTAACCTGGGGAGCAGTGGCAGCGATAGGAGCCCTCTGTGTTCTCGCAGTGACCGTGTGCACAGAGTGCCGCAGGCCCGTTCAAGTCTTCGCACTCATTCACATCTGTAGAAGCAGCAAAAAAGGAAAGCTGTAGGGTGCGCTCTGTCCCTTAGACCGGGTCCTGCTCCCTTACCCTGGATATGCCACCCACAGGCTGCCTCCCCTCCCCAAACCAGACAACTTAAGGGCCAAAACCAAGAAGCAGTGATGGCTCAGCATGCCCAGGACTCTGCCTTCTGGACTGTCTCTCTTGTGTTGGGGACCATCCATCGAAGGACGTTCCCAAGGAGCTTCCGCAATCACTAGCTTGACACACGCCCACTAGGGGGCAGCAGCGCACTTCCCAGCTTTCCTAAGCTCAGTCCCATGACGGGGGTCATTCTCACTGCTCCAAACTTACCCACACAGGCCATGTGGGCCGCATCCAGCTGGAAGCCTTCAAAGCAGTCACAAGTGTAGCCCTCCCGCACACGCACACAGCGGCCATTCTCACAGCCATTCAGGACGCCACATTCCTCGGCCTGAAGTCCTTCAAAGGAGGCCAGTGGTTCTAAGGGAGGGTCAGAAGGAACAATACTGAGGCCTGTGTTTAGACCCCAGTCTCTCACTAGGACCTACACCCTCCAGTACAAAGGTTTTCACTGTTGAGTGCCAAGGGTGGGGTTGTGTTGGTGGACTTTTTTTTTTTTTTAAAGATTTATTTATGTATACAGTGTTCTGCCTGCATGTATGCCTGCACACCAGAAGAGGGCACCAGATCTCATTACAGATGGTTGTGAGCCACCATGTGGTTGCTGGGAATTGAACTCAAGACCTCTGGAAGAGCAGCTAGTGCTCTTAACTGCCGAGCCAGCTCTCCAGCCCCTGTGTAGATGGATCTTAACAGTCCTAAAGAAAGACACTGAGACCAAAAGCCATACTCTCCTGAAGGTTTAGAGTGACAGCCACACGTGGCAGTGTCGGACCCAAGCCTTTCGGAGTTATGTCTTGACTGACCACGACCAGTCAGTGTCTTTCCCCTTCCCTGTCTGCATCCCTCCAGCAATGTAACTGGCGGGCAGATGGAGGGGATGAAGGGAATAGAAGTGCCTATCTCTTCTCCAGTTTTGCTACACATACCTGAATGGCTGGCCACATAACGGGGCTCAAGTTCAGACGGCTGTAAAGGAGGTTCAAGGAGCGGTGTGTTATCTCCCAGCTGACTGGCCATGTTGGAGAAGGGAGGCTCGGGAACGGTGTCCTCTGGGCCCAGGTAGTTGTAGAAAGGGGCCCCATCTGGGCCATAGAGATTGTAGGGCAGATCATCTGGGCCGGGGCCATACTCATAGCCTGGCCGGAAGTGGATCCCTGCTTCCCGCTCTGCCTCAATCCGAGCCACATTGCACAGTTGAGCATAGACTTCTGTTGGGGAGGACGGGGAAAGGGAGCCGGACTTGAGCTCCAGCCAGCTAAAACTTGGTGAGCTGGTTCATCGGGCTCTTCGCCCAAGAAGAGAACACGTGGGGATTCCTGACCACGCTGGCACCTCTCTCTGTCCTGAGCGACTGGGATGGAGGAGGAAGCCCCTGCTCAAATTGCTCTCCTTATCCTTCCAAGTCGATAGTACCCCCTTCCCAGAGCTATGCCCAGACCTGCGGGTACCCTCTTACCAGAGCTCCTGGGAGGGCACAGAGCACACTGCTGGCTCCACGCCTCGCCATCCTGGCAGCAGCATTCTGTGTAGGTAGTATGGTGCCCGCGCAAGGGTTGGCTGCACACGTCGTTGGTGACTTTTTTCCAGCAGATGTCCATGTGGATGTCATGGTCAGGGAAGTCCTCTGGCGGCACAGACCCCAGAAGAATGTGAGTCCCAGGCCAGGTCTGCGCCCCCTGTGGTCCACGCCCCCACCTCCTCACCTGTGCTGCTGGTACTGTTCACACAGCGTTGCCCACTAAGGTCGAGGATGAGCGGGGGACTGCAGAAGCAGTGGAAGGAGCCCTCTGTGTTCACACACTCTCCATTCTCACAGGCCAAGTCCTGGCATTCGTTGTGATCTGTGGCGTCAGGAAAAGGTGGAGCAGGGTCACAGTGGCCTTTTGACAGACAATGCTCGTAGATGGATTTGCCTAGGGAGGCCGATGAAGACGTCCATACTAGAAGGGCCCTCTCCAGAGACAGAATCTGACGGCATAGAGCTCCCCTCACCTCAGACCCGCCTGCTGCAGTGGGCATCTTTCCCAGGAAGGGGGACTCCCAGCAAGAGTGGGACTGGGGGTTAGCAGGCCCATGTTGAGTCCTCACCCTGGCACTTCCTGCTGGAGGCGTCGTAGTGGTAGCCAGGATTGCACAGGCAAATGTAGCCCGGCACTGTGTTGAGGCATCGGCCGTTCTGGCAGAGAGCAGGTCCGAACAGTACGCACTCATCGGCATCTGAAGGGGGGCAGAGTGAGGCAGGAGAAAGAAGGGAAACAGAGTCAGACGCTCTGCATCCAGCTGTTTGAGTGAGTTGGGCAAGTTGCTTAGGCTCTTCTTGACTTGGTTTCTTCTCTAAAATACTACCTAACCTCTCGTAATGAGGATTACGAAATGCTCATACCCATAAAGCACTTTAAATAGTTCTTGGTACATAGCAAACACTCAAGAAAAGCTACTTTTGTGGCTGGGGTGTTCAGTGGAACAGTGTCTGCCTTGTATGCATGAAGCCATTGGTTTTATTCCCAGCAACTAACTCTCTCTCTCTCTCTCTCTCTCTCTCTCTCTCTCTCTCTCTCTCTCTCTCTCTCTCTCTCTCTCTTTCTGTTTGCATTATTTCCTCAGGACTAGCCTTCGGAATAAGGCACGCACCAAGGAGCCCAGTGCTGGGAACTCTCCAGTGAGAATATGAGCACCCCAAAGTTTCTGCTTTGGTGGGTGAAACCAGAGGGATAGCTACTGCCCTCACCTGTGTGGTAGTGCAGCACCCTCAATCTGTCCCTGTGTCCAGTATGGTGGAGGTGAGGTTAAACTCCAGAGTGCACCCTCTAGACTTGAGGGAGCAGGGAAACTGAGCTCAGGGTCATGTGAACACTCCAGAAGGATCTTGGTTAAAACTTTCTGGCTAAAAATATCAGGGATAGAAAAGCCCCAGAGCCCAAAAGACAGAAACTACCTGGAAGCCAGGGCTGGGTGTAGACCTCCTGGGACATCATAGAGGTCTAGGCCAGGGTTCTACTCGGGCAAGTGGAGTCTGAGGAGGAGGGTGCTGAGGATTACCTGTGTACATGGTTTGTCCAAATGTCCAGGCTCCTTCCACAGGGATGTAGCCTTGACCGCTGGGGCAGAGCTCACCGAATTCAACTGTGGAGGAAGGCATCCCAGCTCAGAGAGGGAATGTTAGTCTCCCTACCTCCACTGTTTAAGGGTCTAGTTATATAACAGAGGCTGGCCCGGAACTCTGCTATGTAGCTCAGGCTTGCCTCCCACTCAGGATCTTTCTGCTTCAGCCTCCTGAGCGCCAGAGTTACAGTCATGTGTCATCACCCCTGGCTCCTTTCTCCATGAGTGTCACACTGCAGACTGACCCTAAGAGTGTTTGTAGCCCTTGAGGCCTTACCTGAGTCCTCAGATGGGCAAGGGTCACAGGCTTTCCCCCATCTGGTACCCTGAGTACAGCAGCATTCAGCCTGGGTGGAGTTCCGGCCCAGGACGCTAGAGCAGGGAGGACCACCATTGTGCTCAGAGTAGCATTCCATGCGGGTGAGGCCTGGAGCCGGGTCCCCTGTTGGGACCTCGGGGATTCTCTGAGCTGTGGGTGACAGAAGCCCCTTATCACTGTCTGTTCAAGACCCCTTGAGGTATCACTGCCATCAAGTTGATCTGTTAAATAGAATGTCTGTATAGAACCTTATGGTGTACATTATCTCATGTGGTACCCTGAGCATCACTAGGCGAGAATACTGTTATCATTCCCTACTACAAAGAAACTGCACCTAAGAAGTTACAATTAAGAAGTTATTATGGGGTGAAATGGGGCTCTGATGCCCAAGCCCCTGATGTTTCTAGTGTCCTATTTGCTCACACACACACCCCCCATGGGTAGTACCCATCCCTAGCATACCATCTGAGCATCCTTCTGATCCCTCCCGCTTCTCAGGGACCCCAAACCCTCTCCCCTCCATTTCTTCTTACAAAGTTCCCCTTGACTTTTTACAGGTCATTGAAGCCAGCTGAGGTCTGGTCCAGCCTGGGGCAAAATGGCAATGAGGAGGGGAGGGTCTAGCTTAGCTCGGCTTCAAGGCCTCCTTCATCCAAAAGACCCATCCAAGGATTGGTTGGATTCAGGGTCTTTATTAAACTCCATCTGAGGTCCCTGGGGGCTACTGTAAGTGCCCCATAGCACCCTGAATTTCTCTAGGTCACCCTAGACCTTCAGTTGTCTGGCAGACGCTGGCATGTGTGGCACTCAGACTCCTGTCCCCTCCATAATCCATTCCTAACCCATACCCCCAACACCGGCCCAATGAACCCCACTCAGTGGCAGGAGCTAGATCAGCGGATGGTGTTTGTAAGGCAGAGTCCTCATGGAAAATGGTAGGAAAGGAAGGGGCCCGAGTCTCCCGGATCTCACCTCCAGCCACCCGAGGACGGCAGTGTCCTTCTTGTGCGTCATACTCCTCGAGGTCACTGGCACACAGGCACAGGAAGGAGCCTTCCACGTTCTCACAGAGTGCAGCCCCACACACTGCCAGCATGAGCTCACACTCGTTCACGTCTGCCAGGCACAAGGACAGACTAGTGTCCAGAGAAGAGGTAGCGAATGCACCCTGCCCCCCGATTCCAGCCCAGCTAGGCAGGTTCTCACCCCTTGCCTCCCCAAAGAGAACCGTACTTGGAAGAAGCAAAAGTGGATGTGAATTAGCAGAGAGGGGGACCGGTGGGCGGGAAAAGAGGGGAAGAGAGGCTGAAAATGGTTATAACAGTGAACGCAGAGGACAGTTCCCTCCTCTGGGGATCTCCTGAGCCCCCAAGTTCTCCAGGGAAGTGAGTGGGGTAGGAGGTCTCTTCCCTCTTGTGCTCGCCCCTTCTGGGGCAGGATTGACCCTTCTCCTACCAGTCCAGCAGCAATGCTAGCTGGAGGGGAATCCTCTTTCCCTTGCCCACCCTTTGGGGCCCTGTCATGGAGCCATGTAAACATGGATGTTTCGGGAGAGGGTACCACCTCCTTTCAAGAAAGACAAAAAAATTGGTAGAAACGAGAAGGGCCCAAGGGCCTTTCCCAGCCCAGACCTTGGGTAGCCCGCAGGCTTCTCACCAACACATTCCCAGCCTGAGGGTGAGGTCTCGAAGCCCTGGTCACAGAGGCAGCGGAAGGAGCCATCCGTATTGTCACAGAAGCCGTGGCTCCCACACACAGTGTCGTTGGCGCATTCGTCTATGTCTGGGGATAATGGAGACTAGGGTAGAGGGTATGCATGCTCTCTCTGTTTGCTGGGAGTACCTACTTATCTGGTCTATTAACACCAAGATTTGCAAACAAACAACCCCTGGACCCAGCACAAGAAAGCTATAACCGTAGCATCCCTCTTAATTTCTTTGTAAGCTTCTCTGTATGGAAAATACACAAATTTCAAACAACTGCTCAAACAGTATCCTCGGGAGAAATTGTTTCTAGTTCAATGCAGGGAAAACCAGATGTCCGCAGCTTTCCTCAGCCCTCCCTCCTCTCTCTCCCTGTTCCTACTCACCAATGCAGTCTCCAGTTGGGGCCATGTAGAAGCCAGGCTGGCAGCCCAGGACACAGCGGTAGGAACCAGGGCTGTTCTCACACCTCCAGGCTCCACACACTGGGTCTTCCTCATCCTCACACTCATCAATATCTGTCCCCAGAGCCACGAGAAGAGGCAGATGTGTGGCTAGGTCACTGTTATGGCCCCACCTTGCTGACATTACAAGCTCATATCCCACAACTTTTGAGGTCCTTGGTCCGTTTCAAATCATTCCACTCATCTCACTCCCAGCAGATTAATTCAGGATCGTTTCCCTGACCCAGCGCGGCTGAGCATTTAAAAAGAGCCCTACACCCCATTCGGGAAGCTCTGAGCACTCAGCCTCCTCCCCTCTGATCCCCAGCAGAGCACTCTGCCTTTTTCACCACAGTGGGGTTCAAGGAGCTTTCTTCAATATTTATCTCCCTTATTCAATTTCAAGATCGTCTATAACCATTGATCCTACCAAAAGACATTGAACATAGCCATTGTTTATTATCTGCTGAACATATTCGGCTTTTAAAACTACGTTGTGTCCTCTGCTGGCACAAAGATTATGATTGTCTTTATTATGTCAGCCTTGGGTCATCAGAATCGCAGTAAATGCATTAAACTTTGGGTTCTGTAGAAAATGCTGCATTTCCTAGGACGCTGTGTTCCATGTTCCAGGGAGCTAAGGACCACGCAGGGACAGAGGTGGACAGAGGTGAGGCAGGGTCCCGTCCAATCCCTACAGTCCTTACCCACACACTGTCCACTGTCTGGGGAGGGCTGGAAGCCAGGATCACACAGACAGTTGAAGGAGCCCTCTGTGTTGACACAATGCCCTCGTGGACATGGGTCTGTGGCTGCACACTCATCAACATCTAGGACAGAGACGGCAGTCAGCCAATGCAGCCATGGCTCTCTTTAGAGCTTGTTAGAGCCCCGAGCTGCTTCCTTTGGACCTCGAGAAGCCGATAGGAGAGTCAAGGAGAAGCTCAGGGTAGGAAGATTGAGGGACAGTCCAGGCCATGCTGTGGGGAGGCTTTAGGGCTGGGGCTCTGTTAGCAGAAGGGTGACACTAACAAGACTCTGGAGAGCACGCACGTCTGCCACAGGCATCACAGGGATGCCCCTCTGCAGACTCCGAGTCCTTCCTTACAACCCCGGATCTTTCACCTCTCCCCAGCCTTCCCATTGTCTCCTCCCTGGGTAGGCTGTGAGCAAACTTCAGTAATGGTATTCAGGTGGGATTCTAGACACAGCCTCTAAGACCCGTGCTGGTGGACCCTAGACACGACCACACTGATGTCTTACCCTGGCATCTGGTGCCCCCCTCAGCACTGACAAAGCCGGGTGCACAGAGGCAGAAGAAGGACCCCTGGCTGTTGAGGCACTCGCCATGAGGAGCACAGTGCTCCTCCTCCCCAGCACACTCGTCCATGTCTGCCGGGACAAGATGAGGAGGGAGCGTCTCTAGGGATGTCCTCACCTCTGCCGATAACCACTGTGCCCAGCTCCTTCCTGATGGGGAGACTCACCCTCACACGTGGTGCCATTGGCCAGCTGGAAGCCCTGGGGACAGAGGCATTGGTAGGAACCTTCTGTGTTCTTGCACTCGCCTCCAAGGCAGCTGTTCTGGGGACCCTCACACTCATCCACATCTGTAGGGCCACACAGGGGAGGAGGCACCTGATGGTGGCACCTTCCAAGGACAGGTTCAAGGGAACTATCTCTAGAGGCCCTATCACCTGCCTGAAGGGAGGGAACCTGGGATGAGGGGACCGGGCTTGCAATGTTTATCTCTATTCCAGGAGACGCTAACCAGGGGGAGAGGATGACAAGAGATGTTTCCATTTGGCCCGGCTCTGGTTGGGCTTCCTCACGCCCCGTCGTCCTGGCCCAGAGTAACCAAAGCCTCCACCCCCTGTCTTGACTGAGAAGCAATGGAAGATACACCAAGGAAACAGATACTGGGGACCTGAGAAGGTAACAGAAACTCTCTTTTGCTTGATGGTAAGTTTGTTTTGAGATAGGATCATCGTGTAGTTAACACTGGCCTGGCCTCTAACTTGCTAGATAGCCAAAGATGACCTTGAACTCCTGATTCTCCTGTTTCTACCTCCTATGTGTGCTAGGATTATGAGCCTAGGTCATCACGGCTGGCCTGCCCCTCCCCTACTCCACCACTTTCTGCCCTTCTATAGATAGCCCGGCTGGCCTTGGACTTTTCATCTTCCTGACAAGGCTTCCCAAGTGTTGGGATTATAGGCATTATCAACATTATTGCAAAGCACAGTGGGCACCCTAGAGCCGTGGTTCTCAACCTTCCTAATGCCACAACCCTTTAATACAGCTCCTCATGGTGTGATGACCCCAACCATACAATTATTGTCGTTGCTGCTTCATAACTGTTATTTTGCTACTGTTATGAATCGTAATGTAAGTATCTGTTTCCTGATGGTCTTGGGTGATCCCTGTGAAAGGGTCACTTGACCCCCAAGTTGAGAACCACTGCTCTAGAATCTTGTAACAGAGAGGCTCAAGGGTCTAGGCCAAGGCCCAAGAAACCCCATGTGTCTCTTGTCCCTTGGTGCTGCTGGGCCCCTGCGGCCTGTGCACCAGTGCCTTCAGGGCAGTGAGACCCGGGTTGCTAGCCACTTTCCTGACTGCTTTTGGGGAGAAGGTAGGAACAGGTGTCCCCCGGCCCACTATCCTAGGTTTAAGGGGGAGCTCTTGTTCCTTCTTATAAATGCTTGGTTAGTGTACGGTGTCCCATCTGTGTTCTCCTCCCAGGGAGGGGTCTCTCACCTTCACAGGTGTTGCCCAGGGGACTGGGCCGGTAGCCTTTATCACAGTCCTTGCAGAAGAAGGAGCCCACAGTGTTGGTGCAGACCCCTGTGGGGCAGACTCCAGGGAAGGCACATTCATCCAGGTCTAGGCAGACAGAGAACTGTGGCCATGGACCCAGGAGGGCAGTCCCACCACTGAAGCCTTCCCTCACAACACCTCTTGCCAGTCTCTGAGTTTGAAGAATACTCTGGGCCTCTAGACAAGGGCAAACCCTGGCCATATTCTATGACATGCAACACCCCCACACACGTCCTTCCGAGAAAGCTCCATGGGTAGCCCTAGCCCCAGCTTACCTCTTTTGAGACAGGGTGTCATATAGCTCAGGCTGGCCTCAAACTCACTATGTAGCTAAGACTGGCCTCGAACTCCTGATCCTCCTGTTTCTACCCCCCAAGTGCCGGGGTTATAGGTGTGCACCATTATATGTAGCTTTAGCGTCTCTCTTGTCTCTGACCATTTGTCTCATCTCTGAATTTGGGAGTTATGACAATAGGAACTCTCTTGGGGCCAAGTCCCCCAAAGTTCCCTCTGACCTAATCTGGAGACCCCAGGATCAACCCAAGCCTAGAAGACAAAGAGATGTTCTTTAAGAGGGAGGAAGGCTTATACTGTCTCTTCTGACCCTGTCTGTCTTGTATTACCTTCACAGGCAGTACCATCTTCATTCACCCAGTACCCACTCTGGCAGGCTGAACAGGTGAAGGAGCCCTCAGTGTTGAGGCAGAGGCCGGTGGGGCATGAGGCTCGGCTGGTGCACTCATCCACATCTGAAACAGGCCATTGAGTTCTGTATGGGATTCTGCAGAGCAGACATGCCAGAGACTCATAGGTGGTCAGGGAGGGTCGAAAGGACGGGTTTGGGCAAGAGTCTTGGGCCTGGTGGGCTGATTCGGAGGAGGCTGCAGGGGTTGGCATGCAGAGGGAAAGATGCTGCAGGCTTGATTCGCCGGTGTAAGAATGGAGCTACATCTTTGTACCTCGGCAGCCCTTTTTGTCCGGCGTGACCTCGTAGCCCGGCTCACAAGAGCATCTAAAGGAGCCTTCCACGTTGATGCAGCTTCCATGGGCACAGATCCCAGGGGTCAGACACTCATTCACATCTGTGGATAAAAGCCCAAGATGGGTCATTGGCCTCCTCTCTTCCCTGTGCTCTTCCCCACTCTAGCAAGCCTAGACCACCTCAATTGTGAGTCCCTGGAAGCAGCCTTCAGAGGGACTGTAGGCCAGCCTCGGAGAGCTGCGAAGCCATGCTCCTTCATTCCATCTAGGCGAAGCAGGGTCATACCCTCCCGAGTGCTCCCCAGCTCCCTGTAGTAACATAGAACACCCCGCCTAGCCCTGGAAAAACAAAGCCACCTAGAACACTAGAAATAGAGCATCCGAGACCCTTGATTCACTCTATTGTGAGTCTGACCCTCTAGTCTCTTACCTGCCACCAACAAACCATGTTCCACACCCAACAAACAGTTTCAGTACATGGGTGGGCAGTGTGGAGAGAGGCCAGGCCATGCTTGGGTGGCTGTGGCTGTCTTGAGGGCCTGGGAACCATCTGCCCTCTTAAGAGTCTCAAAGCATCTATTCAAAACATGGCCCCTCCTGGCATCAGAACCTTTGGGCCTTGTTCCCTGCGGGGGCCGAGGGAAAGAACACTCCTCTTCCCACAGACACGGAGTTGTTTTGGGAACAAGAAGCGCCACTGCTATTTAGCGTGTAGCTTCCTGATGTAGTAGGAAAGCAGAGGGCCTGGTGGCTGGCTCTCACCACCATCCAGCCCGAGACCCTGAAGCTTTCCATCCCGGTCCACAGAAGCCAACCACAGAAGCTTCTGGAACTTTGGGATAGAGCCTCAGAACGGATGTGGCTAAGCAGCCGCAAAGGGCCCCACCCTAGCTGATTCAGAGGGCAGAGTCCCATAACAGAAGCACACCCACGCCATGCTCCGCATCATCCGAGAACCCAACCGGATGATGGGGACAATACCCTCTAAGCCACTGTGCTTCCTGTGTGTGCGCTCAACCAGCCATCCCAAAGCTAAATAGCCCTCTCAGTGCCTTGGCAATCAGCCCTTACCTACACAGCTCCCACTCTGACCTATGTAGCCCTCCTCACAGGCCAGACAAGTGTAGGAGCCAGGGGAGTTGACGCATCTCCCATCAGGGCAGGTACCAGGGTGACGGCATTCATTGATATCTACAAAACAACAGTCCCTCCCTTGGTCATCTCTGAGAAACACAACCCATGGGTATTTCATGTCTGCGAATCTTTGACCCTGCCCTGTATGGGGGACTAGGTGTCAGTTTCCATATAGATGAACACTAGGAAAACATGAGTTGCCCTGTGCTCCCAGCCCCACCTCCCACTCACGATCCTAGAGCAGAGGTAAATGAAAGAACTTAAAAATGGAAAGACTCCCCAGGCCGCTGCAGCAGGCTGTGGGTACTGTTAGCTGTAGGAAGTCAGAGAAGCTGCATGCTTCAGCCTGCATGGTTTGGGATGGTCCTTCATATCGCCCTTAGTGACATCAGGCAAGGTAGGAAGATTGCATTTGCCAAAAGGAAAGGCCCCTGAGTCTGCCCTGCCTGAAGTGCGTCAGGTACATCCGTGGAAGGTATACGTAGCACTGGATGCTGGGCATTTAGGAGATATGGAACTTACTAATCTTCAAAAAAATAGCCTATATCTTCATTTTTGGGTCATGGTATGTTTTTGCTTCTGGGTCCCTTGTGGCTGGGTGGCACCAAAGATTAGTGCTAGCCAGTGTGGTCTGAGTGGATATGAGGTAGGTAACTTGTGAACCAAAGCGCTTCACTGCATGCAGACCCTGAGTGTCTTCTTCCTTCCTTCCTTCCTTCCTTCCTTCCTTCCTTCCTTCCTTCCTTTCCTTTTCTTTCTTTCCTTCCTTCTTTTCTTTCTTTCTTTCTTTCTTTCTTTCTTTCTTTCTTTCTTTCTTTCTTTCTTTCTTTCTTTCTTTCTTTCTTTCTTTCTTCCTTTCTTTCTATCATGGGGACTGGGCATATTCCAGACCCCAGCTATTCTTTTAGTCTAATACCAAAGTAAGGAAGCCTGGGTCAGAGTTCTCAACTGATTCTTGATAGACACAAGACGCTAATAAGATTGACTGTGTCCTCTGTGACTGACTTTGGGGTTGGTTGTTAGTGAAGCAGAACCTAATGCAAGCTGCTCTGCTACTCCCAGCTTTCTTCTTAGAGCAGAGCCCCAGGGAACAACAGTGATGTTAAAATGTGAGGAGTCTGTCAGGGAGAAAAAGAGAGAGGCCGGAAGACCAGAGCAGCCTTAGTCTCCACCTGAGCCAGGGAAGCCTCTCGTGAATGGGAGTGGACAGAACTGAGCCATTAGACAAGCTGATCAAAGGAGGCAGAGGAAAATTCTGGATGGAGTGGACTCCATCAGCAGACAACCTGAGACTGTTCCATGGAACTCAACAGTAGCTAAAGTGGAGCCTGTCACCGGGGGGAGATTCTTCTGCCTAGTCAAGGGTTTGAATTTAATCTAAGGTTATGGAATGCCTTGGTAGATTCCAATATTCTGGTTTGTGTTGGGAACTATTTATTGCTGTATTCCCAGCCCGTGGCTAACACACAGCTGGCACTCAGCAAATGTTTGCTGACCAAAAGACGAAACAGTGTGCCTAAAATAATACGCATTATCTTCTTAGTAAAAGGCTGTTAAGGAGACAGCTAAAGGGATCCAAGGAATGGTCACATAGGGACTAATTTGTGAGTCTGCCATCCACACTCTGGGAGGATGCCTGGGCATCTTTCCAGGGACCAGTCTCTGCGTGGGGAATGGTGAGGGTACGTACCCACCTGTGTTCCTGGCGAGAGTATGAAGTGGGAGTGGGTAGGCAGGAGGCAGAAGCTCAGGGGTTCCTGGGTGAGAGTCAGGGACAGCCAAGGCCCTGGCATTGTCAAGGAGAATCTGCTCTCTGTCCATGGGAACCCAGGGTCCTGGGTATGATGGAAATGTCATTGAGACTGCTGCACGGGCCACTGTCCAGACCTCACAGTCTCTCACCAGAGACTTCAGGTTTCCGTGGACAGAGTAGTTTCTTCGTTGGAGACAGAAGAAAGGGAGAGGAAATTGACTGGGCTCCCGGGGTGATGGGCAGGGTCTGTGGTTACTGATGGAAACCCGGAGAAGTGTACAAACTACATCATTCTTTCAACAGCCCCAGAGTGTCTGCCCAGGGCCAAGAACTCAGCCTGAACTCCCTGATGAGGTGTCTGTCTAGAATCCTTCCTTCTGATGGGACAGAGCCATCCTGAGTAGGGCACGGAGTCGGGACATGACAGAGAGAGGTCCTTACAGTGTGCTGGAGGTGGTTCTGCGCATCTTGTATATGTTAGCTGAGCAGTCCTCTGAGATGAGTGTGGCAATCCCCATTTGCAAACACGAAACATGAATACAACCCAGACCTGTCTGCTCTGGAGCCTGTGCCCTGGATGCAGACGGTTAGCATAAACCTGATCTTCTCAATGTTCTGGCATTTCCTGGTTCATTTCCTTCGGTTTTACTTTTCTGCTTAGTAAGTCCTGATGTTAGATGCACAGTGCTGTGGTGCCTAATGAGGCTCTCTTACCAAGCGCTTAGTGCCTGGCCAGCTGGAAGCTCTGTATTCACTCTGCATTCTCTTGTAAATGCCAAGTTGTCTTGTTTCTATTGATCTAATAAGGACAAGGGGGTGGGTTCCAGCTTGGATCATGCCCAGGCCTGAGTTATAGGTGGAAAGGCACGAAGAGGGGAGCCCTGAGCGAAGGTGAGGAGGCACTGGGGGTGAAGACAGTTTGTTCTACACCTGTAGCTGTGGTTCCCCTTCGCTTAGTCATCCCGGGACTTTGCTTCCCTGGTAAACGAACTGGGGAAAGGTCTCCCCTTCACAAGGTCCACGAGCTCACCCCTTACTTCCAGGACTCTCTGGAACCAGGTAAGACAGGATAGTGTCCGAACCTGCCTACGAGGAGACTAGTTAGCAATGTCCAAGCCCATCTTGTAGCTGTATGTGGGAAAGGGGAGATCTACTGAATCCATCCATCAACCAGCGTTTGTTGGGTGCCCATGCACAGGTTGTCTAGAGACATGGTCCACCCTCTGGGAGTTTATATATTAACAAGCTTTAGCAAGAAGACTAAAGGGGCCAGAGAGATCAACCCTTCCTCTGCTATATACAAAGAGAACACATTTTCCAAGGTGACGGGGCAGAGGTATGTAAAGATGTTCATTCCTGTGGTGTCACATAGATTTGTACTTCCCCGAAACAGGGGGCATTCAGGATGCTGATGTATCACCCCAAAGACAGGAGGACTCAGGGGTTCATAGACGTGTCTCTGCCAGTGGGAACTGGCATAGCGTCAAGGGACTCCGTGGAGGAGAGCTCGAGGGCGAGCTGATGGTGGGTGGTGTGGAGGGCAGCGGCTGACCCACTGTTCTCACGCCTTGCCTTGGCAGTGTCCTTGTCTGACCGTGACGTAGCCCCGATCGCATTCACAGAGGTATGAACCTTCCGTGTTGCTGCATCGCCCACCAATGCACACCCCGGACTGCTCGCACTCGTCTATGTCTGCAAACACACAGGATGGTCCCGAGTCAAAGCCAGCCCTGGAGGGGGGGTCCTGGGGCATCCTTTCCAGCGGCCACGGACAAGGCTGCTAGGTAAGGAAGCCATGCCCGCTGCAGTAGGATTGAGGGAGGGATTCTTAGGTCAGCTGTCGGACTGGTCAGACCCCCACGGCCCCTTGAGTTCTTTTCTCCCAGGGATAGCTACTTCTAGGGCCCATGGGAGCCCTGGCAACTTTCTCCTCCCGATGGGAGGCCTGGGTTTGGGGTCAGCTATCAGTCTACACAGTTTGATCCGAGGGGTCCCAGCACTAGAACAGTGGACACTGGGTCTACCACTAGGATTCTTCTTAAGGATGGACCTTCTTAGAAGGACAGAGAGCTGGGGTTGGGGATTTAGCTCAGTGGTAGAGCGCTTGCCTAGCAAGCGCAAGGCCCTGGGTTCGGTCCTCAGCTCTGGAAAATAAAAAAAAAAAAAAAAGACAAAATAACAGAAAGCATTGCAGGCAGCCAAGGGTCTGTAACGCGTGGCTTATATCATTATCCAAAGCACACGGACCCGCTCCTCGGAGACAAGGGAAGGAGCTCGTATGCAGAGCAGACAGTGGAGAGCTGATGGCTCCCACTCTAAAGCCCGATCTTGGTCAGGCCGCTACCCTGAGTCACACCTTGGCTCCTTGCTACCTCCAGCCCCATTGCAGTTAGGACCGGGCCCCAGCCCTGCAGTATTTACCCAGGCTCTCTGGTATAATCTTAGCTATGTTAGATTCCCTTGAGTCCCGTCTCCAAATCTCTGTTCACACGCGTGCCTCTGCTGGGGGTGTCTTTCCCCTCCTGATGACCAGCCGGGTCCTATTCCCATTTCACACAGTGGCTCAGTATACCAGCTCTGCCCTGTGACCACTCCCCGGCCCCACCACCAAACCCATCAGGGTCTCATCTTTTCCACCCCTCTAGCTCCGGGTCAGATACTTCACAGAGTCCTTGTCAGACTGAATGAAAGGCGAAGAGCTGAGAGAAGTGCCTGGCAGGAAACACGGAGGAATGTTTGTTAGCGTCGCTCAGGCATAAACCAACCGCTAGAACCCAGGGAGCTTCCACCTCAGCCATGCTTCCTATCGCTCCAAGTTCACAGTGGAGCCTCTGGCAGACCTGCCACGTGCACCCTCCTCGGCTCCCATGGAGATGCTGGCCTTCGGCATAGGGCGGACCCAGGAACCTTCCTGGCAACAACTCTCCGGGGAATTCAGAAACAGCTGTCCAAACTCTTAGAAGCTCTACTGCCAACAGCAGAGGAAAAGAGAAGGAACTGGAAGGCAGAGCGAAAAGTGGAAACCTGATGGGAAAAAAATGGGGGACTCCAGAACCACCGCTTAATAAACAGACAGTGCTGGTTTGCAGAGAAAAATGGAGATGGAGAAGTGGGTTCCTGGTAGCCACGCAAAGACGAACCCCAGGGGGAGAAAGCATTCTGGAAAAGGCAAATAAAGTGCACAGTGTCTATGTGACATAACAAAACCACAACACATTAAAAATAATGCAAAAAAAGGGGGGCCAGCAATGGCTCAGTGGGCAAGAGTCAGCCACCAAGCCCGGCAACCTGAGTTCCATCCCCAGAACCCGCATAAAGATGGAGAGAACCAACTCCACATGAACGCTGTCTTCTGACCTCCACACGAACACCCTGACACACATAAAACAAATAAGATGTAACAGAAAACACAAGGTACACCCAAAAAGTCACGAGAAAAAAACCACAGCCACACTTGGGAAACAAGCAAGAGTAAGCAGTTCACAGATGAGGGGACCCAAAGGCCGGAGTGCAAAGATACACACTTACTCCAGGGCAAGTTATATGCAAACCCTTAAATAAATCCTTAATATTTAAATAACTTACATTTATTTCTTCTTAAATTAAGTTAAAACCTGTAATGGTTTAGAATGATCCATTTATACATACGAATCAATGCTAGATTAAAATAATGAAACACTGCTTTGGGAGACGGGCAAAGTTTAGGTAGTGGATGCTAAGTTGGATTAGGGCCTTCAAGTGGCAGCCAAGTCCCAGCGGTCGAAGGACTTAGGCTGACCTCAGGTTCCTCCCGCTCCTACAGCTGGCAGAGGCATCCGGACACCAGGCTGGCACAGGACAGAGCCTCATGTCTGGGCCAGTCCTGGCAATACCGTTCCCTGTAGTCGTAATTTGCCTATGGCCAGCTCCCAGACTCCCAGACTCCCTCTGGCCACAGCACCCACCCAGGCTGCAGGAAGCCTGGAAAGCCCATGTCCCCTGCCTTTCCCCTGGCTCTGCCACCCTGCTCTGAGTACTGTAATACTTGTCACCTCCTTCCCAACAGCCAGATGTCAGAACCATCTACCCTCAACAAACCCTCCTGGCAGCCACTGCCCACAGGGCAATGGCCAAATACTTCAGCCTGGCACCGGAGTCACTTCACAGACGGGCCTCACCTGCCGCCACTTCTGCTAACACACTCTAGTCACCCTGACTTCACCATAATTCCGAGGACATGCCAGGCCTGCCCATCTGCTGGCCTATGCAGAAATGGTTGCCTTTCCCTGGACTACCAGCTCCGTCTACTCCTGCTCCTCCTCCTCGGGTGCCTGGTACCCTGCATGTAAAGGCGTGGACCCTGAGAGGCAAACCATGCTTTGGAGATGGTGTGACTTTGAATCTATGTCCAAAGCTGCTACACCTAGGTGTAGCGTCCGTGGGTGTTTCAACTCACCTTTCGAAGCTTCATTTGCTAAGGCATAAAGTGGGAGTAAGGACTGCAAGGGTTGGAATGATGGGCTTTATATAATAAAGTGCTTAGGGTGGCTCTGGGTATAGTAAGTGCTCATTAAATGGGAGCTGTTATGACTCTACCCCAGATCAAGTACCCCCTCACGGAAACCTTCCCAAATTCTCTGCCATCGTCAGTTACTTGCTCATCTAACTCAATAGTGCCATTATTCTTGCTCGTGCATTGGTTGTCTTCAGACCTTTAGCACAGGACCTGGTACCTGGCCACTCAGTCCGAGCTGGAGTACTCACTGAGTACTCACTAACCTGGTTCCCTCCCGCTCCTGCTTTAAGTTGACTTCTCTGCCTCCTTTCCTCACATAATGAAGTGAGGACTTGGATGCCGTTGGATTCTCAAGGCCAGATCCTTGGAATCAGACAGTGAGGAGATTCTGCCAATGGAAGGACTCATTACTCCATGGCCATGCCAAGGGGTGGGGGCTGTGATCATGGCCAAGCCTCTGACTGGTGCCGGAAGTGTGAGGCCCCAAGAACAGGTATTGCCATTCGCCAAGTGAAAGTTTCCCAACAACCCAACTTCTGGGTCGCCAGGCACTGTGTGGAAAATACGTCCTTATTTCTTTGTGAACTTATTCATAAAAACGTACGGGCACGTTCTATGTTATAAAAGGGTTTGCACCATGTGCTGGCTAGTTTTTATGTCAACTTGACATCAGCTAGAGTCATCAGAGAGGAGAGAGCTGGAGTTGAGAAAATGCTTCCACAGGCTCAGACTGTAGGCAAGCCTGTAAGGCGTTTTTTAAATTAGTGATTGATAGAGGAGGGCACAGCCCATTGAGAGTGGGGCCACCTTGGGCCGGTGGTTCTGGGCTCTATAAGAAAGGTAGCCGGGCAGTGGTGGCGCACGCCTTTAATCCCAGCACTCGGGAGGCAGAGCCAGGCGGATCTCTGTGAGTTCGAGGCCAGCCTGGACTACCAAGTGAGTTCCAGGAAAGGCGCAAAGCTACACAGAGAAACCCTGTCTCGAAAAACCAAAAAAAAAAAAAAAAAAAAAAAAGAAACCCTCCTTATTCTGCCTCCAGGTTCTTGCCCTGTTTGAATCTCTACCCTGACTTCCCTCAACGGACTGTGATTCAGGATACGTAAACCAAATAAACCCTTTTCCTCTCCAAGTTGCTTTTGGTCATGGTGTTTCGTCACAGTAATAGTAACCCTAACTAAGAGATACAGGAAGCCTGCTTACTAAGAGTTGCCTAACTACGGCTAGGCCTTCTTGGGGGAAGGTCAAAGCCTACAGGTGTCCCCACTGCTGGGGACCAGAACTCTTCTCCCAAATGTCCCCCTGTCTGCTGAGAGACCAAGCTCCAATCCTCATGGCTCACCCTCATTCCCCCCAAAGGAAAGCTTCCCTATTACTTGAGTCCTGGCTTTTGGTCCACCATCAACAGCCAAGTCTCTGGCCTCTTCTTGGCTCCAACCACACAATTCCTTGAGGCCTTGCAAATAATGCCATTTTCTGGATCCCTCTTCCTCCCTGTGATCCTAGCATAAGCTCAGCTTGCTCCCAGATCAAGGCCAGAGTGCTGTCTGCTTTCCCGTGGCTCTGGTACTCCCCAGTGGTCACACTCGGCATGCCTGCCTCCCCCCCCCCCCCCCCCGCCACTGTAGGGCCTAGCCAAGAGGTGTTGTCCTATGCCCATCCCAGGCTTAAGGCAGGTCTGGCTTACCTTGGCACTCCTGTGTGTCTCCCAGGATGGCTAGTGAGTAGCCGGGGTAGCAAAGGCAGGAGTAGGAGCCCACACTGTTGACACAGCGTCCTCTTCCTGAGCAGGGGTTCCTCAGACACTCGTTGTCATCTGACCGGAAGGAGGCAGGGAAGGAGGTCACAGAGGCCAGGGTGCCTTTCTCTGGGCATCTGCCAGCAAACTGCCCACACTAGAGGATGGTGCTGTGTAGCATGGGAGGGACAAGGGAGCAGAGGAGGCAGAGGTGGAGATGAAAGCGTCCAAGGCTAAAAATCACAGGCCAACCTGTCAGGACCTCTTAGGAGTCCTTGGGTGATGGTCAGTGTCCCCTCCTTGCCCATTGTCCCCTTACTCAGTGGCTCCACAATCATTTCCTCTCTCCCTCCAGCCCACAGTGAAGGTTTTTCTCCTTTACACAAAAACACTGAACAGAGAGGAATGATACATCTGATGATTTATCTTGGTTTCAAACATGTCCTCAAGGGACAGCCCTGGTGAGGCCTTGATCAGCTCTGCAGGCAGAAACATGGCCACTTCCAGAGGGGTGGGTGGGATGCTAGTTCTGTCTGGGGACCCTTTCTCCTAGAGTCTGATGGCCCTCACAGCCGGGTCATAGCCTAAATTAATGTCTAGTTAGCTGTGTCCACAGGGACTGATTTCCTAAGCTCATGGACCACAGTACCTTACTTGGATCTTATGCAGCCTGGCCTCTTGACTCAGTCTCCACACCCTGTTCCTCTTTGCCCCCACCACTCAGCAGGCACAGGTCACCCTGTAAATACCGGTGCAGTAGTCCTGGCTGGGGTGGAGCCGGTAGCCAGGGTTGCAGATACATCTGTATCCATCCGGGAGGTTCACACAGGTCCCAGGACCACAGATGTTGGAGGCCCCAGCAAAACATGGATCAAAGCCTATGGAGATAGAGTGAGTAGGGGTGATGGCTGAGTGAAGGGTACATGAAGGCATTAGAGCAGGGTGGGGGGAGAGCAGGGACAGGTTCAGGGGCCTCAGAAGACCACTAGACGTCTACCTACCTTTAGTATACCCTCTCGCACCAATGTATAACATGGCTTCGGAAGACTCATGGGACCTGTGCCTGGTCTCTGAACCACCTGAGTACATCCTCCTGACAGAGACCTAATGGCTTCTAACAACCCATACTCTGTACAAATTACCTCCTTACTCTCGCCCTCAATTTGGACACAACCCAAAGAACCAGTGTCACCCACTCTAGAAACTCTTACCCATCTTCACATAGACTGACAGACAGATCTAGTGAATAGGTTACATAGATTGAAGAAATTAGATTATTTTTCTTGTATCTCTAATATTAGAGAAGTACCTGACACTTATGAATGAATGAATGAATGAATGAATGAATGAACCAATAAGGGAACACTGTTTTCATCTGTGTCCACCCTGTTGTCTTATCCTCTATCTCACATACCTAGGGCTCCCTTCCCTGCCTCATCACTCCGAGAGAACCCAGAAGGCTCACCAGGGTGGGTCAGAAGTGACCCAGGTTGGTTCACAGAGGGGCTTCATGGCATTACTAATGTGCACTGAGCTGAATGCCTACAACTTTTTAACCTGGTTCCAAGTGTCTACTAGCAGTCCCCAGCCAGATTCCAAAATGTCCGCTCCGAATGTGAGGTTGGAAGATGGCAGGGCAGCAGCTGGATCGGACACAAGATTGAAGCTGCTGCTGGTGACTTTATCGCCTGCATGGCTGAGGGCCACTGTCGGGCCCAGCCTGGCTCCAGGAATATTTCAGTTATCAATCTCAGTACTCCCCAGCTGAGCCCCACACACTCAGCTCTTCCTTCCTGCTTGGAAGGGGATGCTCCCTGGAGTCTCAGGAGAGGTCCCTTGAGAACTCTCGGGAAAGCCAAGCCCCCATGCCACCTGCGACTTTCTCTGCACCAGTTCTGGAGGAAATCCAGAACTCTAGTCACCTTGACTTCTACTCAAGGTGACCCTCTAGCTAAGAGCACAGCTAGCCCCTAGAGAGGTCAGGCAAGAGGGCACACACATGCACTGAAAACAGTGTGACAATACTACAATGTTAACCTTGCTTCTCTCTTTTTTTTGTTTTTTTGAGACAGGGTTTCTCTGTGTAGCTTTGCGCCTTTCCTGGAACTCACTTGGTAGTCCAGGCTGGCCTCGAACTCACAGAGATCCGCCTGGCTCTGCCTCCTGAGTGCTGGGATTAAAGGCGTGCGCCACCACCGCCCGGCTACCTTGCTTCTCTTGAACCAAGTCCCCAGACAACAAGCCTTTGTAGAAGGACATTCCACAGCCAGGTGGGTCTGCCAGGAATCTCCCCCACACCACCCCTCACCACTGTGGCTGATCGGAGGGAGCCAGACACAGGGTCTGGACACTTAAACAACCTTGCGCCATATAACTCTGTTACACCCTTTCCGTGGACAGGTGACTGTCACTGCCAGGCCTCTCACTGGCTCTGTCCCCTCTCACCTCGCCTCCTACTCTATGAGCTCTCATTCTTCAAGAAGCTCCCCACTCCATGCTCCAGGAAGATCCATGGCTTCCCTGGAGTCCTCTGAGTAGGACCATCCCTCCAAGGGATGTTAGTGCCCAGGCAGGGCTCCTGTCTTTTCTAGGTAGGCTTTGTGCCCTCTGTAGGATCAGGCCAGGACCACAGCTAGGCCCGAGTTGCTGGAGACTGTTCATGCGGTTGAAGAGGCAAGAGAGAAACTCCATTCACAGTCCTGCCCTGCAGTTTGGCTCTGGGCAACCACATCTCCCACGGGTGGGGGCGAAGAGCCTCCAAGGGCTACTGCAGCTACCTGGGGGACTCTGTGTCACCGGGACATCACTGGAGGGAATCACTTTCTCTTCCTCTGGACTCTCTGGAATGCCCTGTTCAGGCAACGATGGTGTCGGTCTTCTGGTGGCATCCCCTGGAGAGGACAGAGGGGAGGAAGTGGGCCCATTGGCTAGCAGTGGCCCTTCTATGTTCTCTGATGTTCAGACTCCCAAGAACCAAAAGTGACACCTAGGGCTCCCACCATCTACCCTCTCTTTTGGCATATCTGGTCCCCCTCCTTGTAGTCAAAGAACCTGAGGAGTACAGAAATGGCTGCTTGTCTGAGGCTGGACAGCTCGCTGGAGGCAGAACTGCCGCCCCATCTCCCGATGCCCAGTTGAACATTCTGTTTTCACTTGTAATCCATCTTGCAGTTTACAAAATGGTGCTGCAAGTACAAGCACCCAGTTCCCGTGGGCTGCAGCAGGTGTCACGCCCACATCACGGCAGGGAAAACTCGGCATCCTTGACTCTGAGGCCAGCTCTGGTGAGAGGTCAGCTCAGGGTCAGGAGGTAAGATGAGGCCCCTGGAGGAAAGAGCTCTGGGGCCCCACCAGGCTGCTACTTCAGCTAGGGCCTCCTCTTTGGCCTGATTTATGTGCTGAGTGGCATCATGAGATTAAGAAAGAGTTTGGTGGTTAGGAAAAGATTTGCAAAGCATCATGGGATCTCTTACTAACCGCACAGTCCCTTAGGGACTCAGAGTTCCCGGAAAGAGTGCTCACATGCCATATCACTCACCACCTCTGGTTTGAACTCCCCACGGGGAGTCATTCCATGACTAAAACTAAGGTCTCTCTGTCTTTCTCTCTCCCTTCTCTTCTCCTTCTAGGAGGAACTCACCTGGTATCCGGGCAGGTAGGTGGGGAACACTGGTTGTGATCTGTGTAGAAATGGAGGTTATTTAGGGGGCACATCTTTTACTCCCAGGACATATTTCTTTCTCCTTCACTTACTCCACCTCCTTCCTGTCCAGCTCTCTCAGTTAGTGAGTTTTTACTGCTGGCGTGTATTCTCTAGGCATTTTCTACCCACAGTCTTAACTGATCGGCTCCACTTCCTTATAAGTTGTAGCTATTAAATATATGTCCTCTACCAGCTCAGTGTTGGCCACACAGCAGAACAATAGCACTTATCAGAGCTACGATCCTCATGTCATAGATGAAGTAGCAGATTAATTAGATCATCCAGGGCCACAAGGCCAGTGTGGCAAAGCCAGGAGTCACAGCCACACTTGGTGTCCCTCACCACAGCGATGGACAGAGACAGATGAGGGCACAGGGCAGCACAGAACAGCAGAGGACAGAAGGGCACTGGGACATTGCTGGGACTGTGAAGACATGGAGGGGAAGCTTTGATCTGAGAGGACAGCACGTGGTTTTTTGTTTTGTTTTGTTTTTGAGACGGGGTTTCTCTGTGCATCCCTGGCTGTCCTGGAACTTGCTCTGTAGACCAGGCTGGCCTCTAACTCAGAAATCTGCCTGCCTCTGCCTCCCGAGTGCTGGGATTAAAGGTGTGGGCCACCACGCCTGGCTTCAGCATATGGTTCTTAAGCTGGAAATCAAGGCTGCTGGAGAAACGGGGCATGGAGACAGGTTAGCTCATCACCATCAGGAGATGAGCAGGAACCAACAGACTGGTCAAGGGGTGGAGAAGCAGAGAGCATATTCACTCCTCCAGAGGCTTCCAAGATGCTCAGTCTTGGATGCACAGGGGGATTCTGGGCCCAGGGAAGGGGCCCAAATGCCCTTTCCTCTGTGAAATGGTTTGAGTACTCATAGTCAAGTTTCTGCTGTCCCATGAGCTCCTCACAGAGGGTATGTATTAAACAAGCCCTAGAGCACATGCCAGACTCAGGACCAGTTCTAGGTGTCACGCACAGCCTCGAGCTTGAGTGGCCATCAAGACTAACTCCACAGTTGAATGGGTCCTTGACTCAACTTTGTGATCTCTCCAAGTGAAATCCGGTATATGCTCCATCCTTCTTTTCTGCTCTCCTGAGACTATTCCCCGGGGTCTATGTCATTCTCTACGTCACCCTAATCCAACCTCCTGGCAGGAAGACTCACTCACCTGAGTAGCCCGAGAGTCACCTGGGAAAAGAAGATGACACAGAGTGAGCTCCAGGAGGAGAGGCAGTGACCTTCTGCCCCTCCACTCACGGCCTGGCTGTTTCACAGTCTACACTCCACCCTGCATCCCCAGCAAGATGAACAACACACAGAGTGCAACTCTCTTTATCTGCCTCAGCCTTTCAACTCCCTTTTAGGGCTGGCCACCCCAGAAATCCAAGGCTAGAGAGCATACAGTTAGCCTTGCTCACCTGTCAGTTGGAGAAAGGAAGTCTCCTGGATTCCTTCCAGGTCTCCAGGGACAGAAGTCCCCCTCAGCCAGCCTCATTAGACCCATAACACACCTCCTCCCTCCTGTGGTCCTGATCACGTGGGTTACTCTCCATCCTCCCTGCTCTGGGCCATGGACTAAGGGACAACTTCTAGGAAGAGGCTAGTGTCCCACGTCTATGGCCACCGAGTTCTGTTCTTGCGTCTCTGTCCCAGATTCTTGGAGTAATTCTGGCAATCTCCGGGTTTACTTGGTCCTAACAGCTTCCTGGCCTTCTGTACTGGGTGACCTGGGCATGACCCTGTGGTTCCCAGAGCACTAGCTGGAGAACTCAAGCTCTTCCTGGCCGACACATCCTGAGCCCCAGGCATCTGTGCTGAAGTTACTGTTCTGAACTTAAGGCCTGGGCAGGGAACTGTAAGGAAAAGGAGGATCCTTAGGTGTCTCCCCCAGCTCAGATACCTTTGTCAGGGAGAGTCTCAGTCTCAGTCCAGGAGTCAGTGACTGCCCGGAGTGGTTGCCTCTCTGCTGCCCCAGGCAGAGGTCCACTGATCTTCTGTGTGTGTTCCCTTAAGGGGCTAGCCAGTTCCTCTTCCTCCGCTTTCCTCATGGACAGACGGATGTCTGAGCTTGAGTAGGTATAACCATGGCCAGCAGGGCAGATCTCCCTGAAGGCCTCTGAAAAACCGACAAAGGATGGACTGAGCCATGCCATTCCTGCAAGAAGCCAGGGCCCCCTTCCCTGCTCCTTCCTTCAAGGGGATAAGACAATTGTGGCTACAAGGAGAGTCCCAGAGTCTCCTGGCTCGAAGGGCTCTATCCAGGCTGGGGAAGTGGCCCCTGGATTTGAGGAAGTATCCTGGTGGCCAGGGCTGGGGTGAGGATGGGGTTACCTGTGCCAGGCAGGGGGCACTTTTCACACTTGCTGCCCCAGGCTTTGCCCACACGGCTACAGCAACATATCTGCTTGGTGATCCGTTGTATCAAAGGCAGGGTGCAGGTGTCAGACCCCAGTGACCGGTAGCATAGTCCCTGCTGCATGGAGACTGCTTTGTCCGCTGCAAGAGACGGGGCATGTGGGGACGGGCAGGTGGCCAGTGGGAGGAAAAAGCACAGAAGGCAGTGGGCAGAGGTGAGGTCAGCCGTAGGCACTGAGGCTAGCCTGGCTCATGTCTCACTCTGGGAGTTCCGACGCTCACAAGAACTTTGGGAAGAATGGCCGCAGTGGACTGCTCCCACATCTCCTGATTAGGCCCTAGCTTCCCACCCTTATGTGAGAGCAGGACCTGGGAACAGAGTTGTTTGGCTCCACCTGCTGCCTTTAGAGTGTTTACTAAAGGCTCAGGAATGAGTAGAGAGCAGTGTGCCCTGAGGTCCACAGAGAGCCTCTCTGGGAAGATGAGGCGAGGTGAGTACCAAAGGCTTGCCAGAGAGCTTGGAGGACAGGGACCTTGTCTGGGTCATCTTGGTCACTCGGAGCCATCCGTGTGTCTGATGTATATGGTTGCTTAATAATGCATGCTGAATGGGTGCATGGATGGTTCATTTAATTAAACAACTGAGGTCCGAATCCAGTGTGTAGCTCAGTGTGAGAGCCCTTGCTTAGCATGTCTAAAGCCCTGGATTTCAGTGCCAGCGCTACACATACACACATATACACAAGACAAAAACCAAACCAAACCAACCAACCAACCAACCAAACAAACAAACAAAAACCCCACTGAATCCATGAATCGTGTGGAGCTAAAAGCAAGTGGGTAATAAAAAAATAGCCTCCTGCTTATTATCTCACTAGGAAAAGATATGGCCAACCAGATTGAAAGAGATTTACATCTTTAGAGGGCAAACCAGACTGTCAGAGGACAGAGGAGTGAGGAGAACAGCAGGCAAAGTTGAGAATTAATGATTCTGAGGCATCCCGGCCAGTTCCATTATCCGCTACCTGCTGAGCTACACATCACCCTGGGCCTCGGCTTCTTTATGTGTAGAGTAATGATGGTGGTGTGCCATGGACTGTGAGCACTCGGGCTTACCTGGCATGTGTGCCAACGCTATAGAGAAGGACTTGTTCTCCACAGATGCCCCTCACCCCTCTCCCTCAGGCTACTTCCTGATTGAAGGGCTGAAGTTCATATCCCTGGTCACAGTGACTGGGACAGGGACAGGCACTTGAGAAAGTAGGCCCCCTACTGCTAGCTTGGGACTTTTCTTGGGTTATTAGGAAACAGGGGCCTGTGTTCAGAGAGTCTAAGGCCGAGAGCCTAGAGCATGTGGAGGCCACCACTGAAGGAGCTGGGAAACCAACACAGGAAACAGCGAGACAAGACTCCCGAGGGCATCGTGGGGACCTGGATCCCACCGACAAGGTCACATTTGCCCCCTCTCTCGCTTCCCAGTTAAAGCGGTGGGAGTTGGGCTTCTGTGACCCCTGGCTAAAGACGGCTTCTTCACAGGGTCGTGGGGATGAAACACAGCAAGACACACAAGCATAGCCTGGCAAAGGTCAGGTATGCACACCCATCCATCCGTCTCTGAGCCCTGCATCCTCAGGTGCAGGCTCTGCCTGCAGTGGTCCCTTCCCTTGGGCTCCTGAGGGGACAGGCTCTATCCCTCTGAATCCCAAGGTGGAATATAAGGAAGCTGGACCAGAGGCCCGAGATGGCTTTACTGCCCTACTCAGGTGGCAGGAAGTCACCAGCTTGCCCTCTCCACCTGTGGGGTGGGGAGGATGACTCCTTGGAGGAAGCTGGAGGGAGAGAAAGACAGGGTCCCCCTGCTTCTCCATATTGCTGTATTGGGGTGGCTTCCTGACATTCAGACATGTTGGGTGTTAAGCACCCTGATAAAGAATGCTTTGTTTTGTTTTGTTATGTTTTTGTTTTTGTTTCAAGACAGAGTTTTGCTATGGGGCCTTAGATCTCTGCCTCCAGAATGCTGGGGTTAAAGGCATGCACCACCATGCCCAGCCCGATAAAGGAACCTTAAGTGACCTGGAAAAGGAAAGACTGTAAGGTCCTTGGGGTCTTTTTTTGTTTGTTTGTTTGTTTGTTTTTTTTTTTTTTTTTTTTCAAGACAGGGTTTCTCTGTGTAGTTTTGGTGCCTGTCCTGGATCTCCCTCTGTAGACCAGGCTGGCCTCGAACTCACAGAACTGCCTGGCTCTGCCTCCTGAGTGCTGGGATTAAAGGCGTGCGCCACCACTGCTCCGCGGTCCTTGGGGTCTTGATGACATATTATTGCCACCACAAGCCGACCGCCGTGTTCTCCTATCCTGGATCCCTTACTTCTGGGCTCTCACTGTCCCCTGACCCTAGAGATGTCAGACCCAGACACCCTTTCTACAGGCCACTACCTCTGGGTGGCAGCAGAGATTTGTTCCTCCCATAGCCTTCCCAGACCCAGGGGCAGACACTTTGTCAGCCAGAGAGCTCTGTGAGCTAGAGGTGGCCTTGTTCCTGAGGCCTTTAGGGTGCTCAGGCCTTCCTCCCCAAGAAAAGCCTCATGTGAGCTGTAGTGTCAGCTCTACTGTCTTGGGGGTGAGGAAGGGCCTGCCAGCCTGGACCTCTCTCAGCTGGAAACTACAGAGGTCACTGGAAACAGAGCCGCCAGGGTTTATGTGGGAATATACATCCATCCATCCACAATGCAAGGTCACAACTCATGTATGTGTTCGTGGTTGTAGAGATGCATGCAAAAAGGACCATGGAGTAATGTAAGGGTGCTGGAATACAGCAGCAACACCACTCTACCATGGACATAAAAATATCACGTAGGGGCTGGAGAGATGGCTCAGTGGTTAAAAGCACGGGCTGCTCTTCCAGAGGACCCGGGTTTGAATCCCCACACACACATGGCAGCTCACAACCGTCTGTAACTCCAGTTTCAGGGGATCAAATGCCTCTGCAGACACCAGGCACATACACATAGTCTACAGACATACGTGCAAGCAAAACACCCATACACATTAAAAAGAAAAATCACTTAGCAGTCATGTGACCAGCCATGTTGCTACGCTTGGATAATAGATTAATAGCAGCTATGGCTTAGCCAGACGCTTCAAAGAGGCAACACACACCTTCAAAGACAATGGAACAGCAGAAAGGATGAAATGGTTAGAGAGAAAAACGAAACAGAAAACACGAATCCTGAAAAAGTTCTCAAAGAAAAGCCAGGAGTAGACGTGAGGCAGTAACCTCCAGAGCCAACAGAACACACGTCAGTTTTGTATCCTGGACCAACTCCAGGCTGATAACAGACACTGGCTCTGGGCACGAGGCCATGAGGTTTTGGGAAATTTGCCACTCTGGTTCTGGACTGTGCCCCTGGAGGGCGTCTCTCACCCCTGGCCCCACCATCACTCACATACACAGCGGCTCCTCGATGGATCCAGCATCAGGCCAGGCCTGCAGGTACACAGGTAGCTACCCCTGGTGTTCACGCACTCCGAGTCCTTGCACAGGCCCAGGGTCAGGCACTCATTGATATCTGCAGGGGTGGAGGAATAGCCATCTGACTGAGGCCAGATGGTTGGGAGGGGGCTGCCATCCCATGTTCAGTGTGAGATCTCTCTGTGTGCCTTGGTTTTCTCACTTGCAAAACATGGATCATGATAGTAACCACCCAACAATGCTGATAGAATAATTAAATAGAAAAATTGTGCCAGGTGGTGGTGGCGCACGCCTTTAATCCCAGCACTTGGGAGGCAGAGGCAGGAGGATCTCTGTGAGTTCGAGGCCAGCCTGGTCTACAAAGCAAGTTCCAGGAAAGGCGCAAAGCTACACAGAGAAACCTTGTCTCGAAAAACCAAAAAAAAGAAAAAAAGAAAAATTGCAAACCGCTTCACTAACTGGCACATAATAACCATCTTAGTTTGAAAACTAACATTTGTGGAGTGCCTATTGTATGCTTCATACTCTTTTGGTATTTGAATACATATGATACCCCATTTAACCTTATAGACAGTTTTATCTGGTTCTTATGTCTTCGTTTTATAGATGAAGATATGCTCTAGGAATAACTTGCCCAGAGTGACTCAGCTCTTGGTGACTCTGGCAAGTGGCATGGGGATTGAGGAAAGAGGCAGACAATCCTGTCCGGATTGGAGGGGGGCAGATGGGCAGCTAAGTCCCTTGTGGTTAGCTTTCTTCTAGAGCTCCTGAGCAGTTCTGCAGGGTATGTCTGCAGGGAGCTGAAAGCAGGAGACTGAGGGGACAGTGCTCAAGGGCTGGGGAAGAAGGGGTAGGGGTCTGCAGGAGGGTAGGAAGGCATGTGTGTGGTACCTGCCGCCCCAAACAGGCTGCATGACCCCCCCAAGACCAGCAGAGGCTCCTGTCCCCACTCAGATAAAAAAGGACAACAGCTTTGTCCTGGGGTCTAAACTTCTTATGTTATAAGATGGGAGCTCAAACCCTCATACTCTGAGCTCCAAGTTGGGGGCTCATCTTGGTGACCGTGATGGCCACATTGATGCTGAACGTGAAACGCTTGAGAAGAGCACCCGCTTCCAGAGAAGGATGTAATTTAGGTAGCCCAATGCCTTTGGAACTACCTGCTCATCTTCAGACCTAGAGGAAGTTAGCATAAGATGAGGCCACAAAAGATGGCCACCAAGAGGACATCCTTGGTAGGATGCCCCATGGCAGCAGAGGCACTTGAGTGATGCCACGGAGAGTTGCGGGGGGGGCGGGGGAGTCGGCCCATGTACCTCCAGATTGTGGCCAGACATATCAGAACACAAGCTGATTTGTCTCCCCTGTGCTTCAGAAGTTTCAGGGTTCCTCATCACCTCCTCCAGGGAGCCCTAAAGCATGACACAGTACCCAAGACCCTCCCAAAGCCTGTGGGTGAGCAGGTGGTTCTCACGAGACATGGTCACCTTGTGTGTGCGTATGGGCTGTTTGCCCAGTGTCCCTCAGATGCCTCAGTCAGCCCAAACTATCCCTTTGCTTATCTTTCTGCCTGGAACATCTGCACCTGCTTCAGCTGGGCAATTTATGTTTACCTCTAGTGAACATAAACGTAGTACTACCTCTTCTAGGAAGCCTTCCCTGGTCCTCCCAGCCTGGATTGGATTCTACCAAAGGGTCCCATGCCACCCATCAAAAACCTCTGGTTGTATTTGACTAGGTGTCTGTGTTCTCCTGGTCATGGAGCTGGGTCTTCCCCATCCTGTGTACTTAGCAACTAGCTCAGACTGGATGTGGCACCCAGCTTGTGTACACAAATACGCACCCTGGCCCCGTTCTCTTATTCTCCATCACTTCATTGTGATTTTAGCTCCACTTTGGTGGAAATGTCCTCCTGTTCCCGGGAGACCAGCCTAAGAGTGGATGTGTAGGGTTTCTGGCCATGGTTCAAATAGAAGTGGGTAAGGATGGGTGGCCCCAGCACCCTGGATCTCTCAGCACCCTCACGTTAGTCCTATTGTTCTAAAATTCCTAGGACCAGCCTCTCCCACAGCTCCCCAAAACTGGGGCAAAAGATGTACAATAGAGGCCTCCTAGGCAGTGACAGGTGTTCATCCTTTCTGGGGTGCATGTTGCCTCAGTATTAGCAGATGAAATCATGCCCCCTCCACCACCCCGGCTTCACCCAGCCCTGGGGTCATCCTTACCTTGGCAGTGGCTGAGGTTCAGTCTCTTGTACCCTTTGGGACACTCCAGCTGGCCATTTTCTATTACTGGGAAGGCTGAGGGATGAAGATACAGACAGATGTCATGGGAGGGCCTTTGAGCTCATCTACCTAGTGGTCGCAGTCTGGATGTCCCATGAGCAAAGCAGCCTGAGTTCCTCCAAAAATCTCCCTGGGCAGCTGTTCCGTCTTGCTTTCGCTGGGATCATCCTGGCTTGTCGTGCTCTTTTGAAGACCATATGAAACGAACGAGGCACAGAAAGACAAACACAGCCTGATCTCATATCTGTGTGGAATCTGAGAAAGGCGAACCCACAGAACCGAAGCGGGAAATGGCGGTTATTGGGAGCTGTTTTGGAGTCGGGAGTGGTTTGGGCGTTGGCAGTCTAAGATGGTGAATTTCAGGACAGGTCAGACAACTTGGCAGGTAAAAGTGCTTGCTGCCAAGTCTGACGACCCGAGTTCAAGTCCCGGAACCCACGTGTTGGAATGAGAGAAGCAACTCCCACCGTCGTCCTCTGACCACCACACCCACATCCCGTGGCATGCACACACCACACATCTGCATCATGCATGAGCATGAACACATACAAAACAGACAAACAAATACATGAAAAAAAAACCCTAAAGTTATAAATTTCAGAAGGGAGGAATAAGTTCAAGCGACCTACTATCCAACATAGCAACTATTACTAATAAGGCATTGCATATTTGAAAAATCACTGAGAGATTTTAAGCAGTCTCACCCTTCCCTCAAATAAACACAAAAATAATTGAGCCGATTGGCATGCATATCAATGCAAAGCAATACACATACTTTGTGTCTGTGCATATGTGTGTGTAGCATATGTATATGTTTGTGTGGGTGTGATGCACGGAGGTGTGTGTCCATGTAGGTGCATGCGTAGGATAGAAGTCAATGCTGACTGTCTTCTTTAATGGTTAAAGGTTAACTATTACACAATGTATTCTCATTTCAAACTATCATGTTGTGTAGTATATATATGTATATATATATATATTTCAGTAAGAAAATATTTTTAGAAACTGAAGTGGTGCTTTTTACCCATAATCCCAGCACACAGAAGGCTGAAGTAACAGGATCATCCCAAGTTCAAGGCCAGCCTGAGACCGAGCATAAGACCCCGCCCATCTCATACAACAAAAATAATTTGTTTGTTTAAATACTGAAAAAAAACATTTCTCATCTGAGTTTATACCACCTATATAGCTATACTATTGTATACAGTGTACAGTCTACCACATTTTGCAATATAACATGGTCAAACATGCTTTGTTGGTTTTACGAACTTTTCTATTTGGAAACGATCATGGATACACAGGAGGCATCTGAATGCAGAATGGCCAACAAGGAAATGATATCAGTATTTTGATGCTAACACACATCCTGCTGATTCCACAACATCCCTCTTGTGTCCCAGAGACAAAAAGCCCCTATTGATACCAAATAGGAAAAGGAAAAACATCTACATTGTTTTAGAGTGGCAGTCCAGTGAGCGTGCCCCAGCATCGAGGAGGGAGGAGGGCGGAGGGAGGGAGAACCTGAGTTCATGATTCCTAAGCTAAGAAGAGAGACGATGAGCTGGCTCCGTGGCTCAGCACACCTGCCACCAAGCCTGACAACCTGAGTTCAATCCTGAGGCGCCACATGGTGGAAGGAGAGAACTGAGACTCTCGCTCCAGGGGATCCAACGCCCTCTAGTGGCCTCTACAGGTCACCCAGGTGCACATACCAACACATAGAGGCACAGAGACACAATTAAAGATAAAATGACGTATTTAAAAATTAATGCAATCTTGCTGGGCATGGTGGTTCACACCTTAATCAGGAGACAGAGGCAGGCAGATCGTTGTGATTTCAAGACTACTCTGGTCTACACAGTGAGACACCCCCCCCCCCCCCCCCCCCGTCGAGGAGGAGGAAGAGGAAGAAGACTGATAATTTCAATTGTACCGCTAAGTTTGAGAGTCTTGGTGCTTACATGGGTTTTGTTTTCAGTACTGAAGACAGAGCTCAGGGCCTTGTATTTCCACTAAACTAAATCCCAATTCCTCTTGCCCCATCCCTTTGATTTTTTTTTTTTTTAGACTGCATCTCACCGTGTAGTGCAGGACAGACACAAACTCTCTACCCCCACCTGCTTCAGTCTCCCAAATGCTAGGAATCTAGGTGTGTGCTACCGTCCCCGGCCTACAAATGTTTTTCTAAGCGCACAGCTTTTACTTATTAGCCACTTCTTGGGGGCACTTAGGGTAAGGTTTGTTACCAATGGCAGCAGATAGAATTCTGCATCTCACATAGTCTCCTTAGCCAGTTGGCTTTGGCTGTGCATGTCAGGTCACATGCGGTAGGCCATTTTTTCCACTTTGTGCTCTGGCTGATGACAGGTCATTATAAGAAGTGTTGATGCTGTGCCTCTTGGGATTGCTTATGATTACGTCATTAGCAGTTTCTTGGGACCACAGGGTCTTAGCAGGGGTTTTCTGGAGTCCTTCCTCTGCGCTGTCAGGACTGATTTAGTTAATGCCAGGCAAAGAAGTCCAGGAAGCAGAGCAATAAGAACCACAGTAATTGCAACATGACCAAGTCAAACACGTGGAGGTGCCAGTTGCCTGGAAACCCCACCCCAGGACATGTTGCATGCCAAGCATGACATGTGACAGTCTGACATCTGGACAGATCAAGTGTGGACATACACTAACCAGTAAAGCTTAATGTTTTCTTCACTGCTAAAAATATAAGTTGAGGTTCTAATATTTAATGACAAGACCCATCTTCTCTGAAGTTTACATGGGACTGAAGGTCTGGACTAGGACATCCCTCAGACTGCTAAGTGTGGATTCTGAAACACTGAGAGGGAGACAGAAGGCTGGGCTTGATGGTATGTGTTGAGGACAGAAGGGAGGGAGAATGGAGGACACTGTCAGGAGAAAGGCGGAAGGCTGGCGGATTGAACGCAGGCAGCAGACATTACGAAGAGCAGAAGGTGGGAAAGAATAACACAGAGTACATGCCAGGGGCTGAGGAGTGATGCCAAGTTAGCGAGGACACTGGGCCACGCTGTCCTGTCTGGTTATCGCAACAGTAAATGTCAGGAAGGCTTTTATCCCCATTTTCCAGAGCAGAAAAGCACAGCTCAGGGAGGTAAGAAGGCGGCGGGAACTGAGACAGGGTCAAAGGCAGACTTCTGCCACAAAGGCCAGACAGACAGACAGACAGACAACACAGAGAAAGGAGAGGAAAGCAAGAAGAGGAGGAAGAGGAGGCGAGAAGGGGAACACCTTCTCAGGTAGGTTTCAAGATGCCAGAGGCCAGGGCAGCATGGCCTCCTGGATGTCAAGAGGGAGCAGAAGAGAAGTCAGGCGGATCTATGCTTTCTGGGCAATTGGGACAGGGGTGGGGGGAGCTAGACTAGAGCTGTGAACAAGAGGAGCACCAGACGCTGGAGCCTGAAGAAAGCCGTGGGAGCCCAGGCTTTGTATGCTGAGAGGACCCGGCCACAGTCACACAGAAGCGCGGGCTGCCTCCACAATGGAGACCCTGTACAGCACACAGAAGCAGGGCTGCCTCTACGATGGAGACCCTGTACAGCACACAGAAGCAGGGCTGCCTCTATGATGGAGACCCTGTACAGTCACACAGAAGCGTGGGCTGTCTCTAGGATGGAGATCCTGCCCTGGAAGGAGACTCTCCTCTCACTGGGTTGAAGAGGAAACAGTGGATTGACAGTGCTTCCTGGAGGCAAGCTTCTAGAGAGAAATAACTGCCAGCCTCTGTCTCCAGTGGATCTCCCAATTTTGGCCAATAGCCTCCACGTCAAACTAAGTGTTTCCATACATTTCCATACCTTTCCTCAACCTTCCAGAATGACCCAGAAGGGCTAGTTCCCAGCTTCTGTGAAACCAAGTCTGGCATCAGTCCTGAAAAGAAAAACTAGCTTCAACCTCCTTGGGAGAAGGAGCAGACGTTCAAATGGCCACGAGGCCTGGGGTGACAATTCAGCAGCCACCTCACTGTGTGACTCACAGGGTGAGGGAGGCGGGTGTCCCTTCCGAATGTCCCCAGGGTACCAGTCTTCCCTGATCATAGCATTTAACATGTGTTGTAGCCACTAGCCTACTTATCTGTCTCCCTCCCAGAGCATAAGCTCTGTGAGGACAGGGACCCCATCTGTCCTCCCCAGTACCTGTAGCAGTCTGGATATTCAGACCAAATGGAAACAAATAATAATAGCAAATCTCGAAACAGACTTGCTGCAGACGAGGCCCTATTGTAGAGGCTTTACATAGCAATGTCTTTAATCCTCATAACAGCCCTTGGGGGTGCTTAGTAGTCTCGCCCCCATTTCACAGATGAGCGAATAAAAGCAGACAGAAGCTAGAAGTATGCTTAAGGTCCAGCCAGTGGAAGGATGGAGCTGACATTATGAATGCCGGAAGGCCGGCTACAGAGCTGAAATTCAGAGCCACCATCTACCACTTCAGATAAACAAAAGCATGAATCCACGGCAAACCTCAGGGACTGTGCACAGAGAACTCTGGGGTCTAATGGGAGGTAGAGGAAGATATCAGCCCAGCAGGAAGGAAGGCTACCACCATTTCCGGGGACCTTCCCCACAAAAACGTCAGGATGGTCAGGAGGTCAGAAGAGCTCATCAGATGATTGACAAGTGCACAGTATACTGAATCACCACTCAGAGTCATCAGAGGGAAACGTGGAGAGCCACACCAGGTCCAGAATGTAGCAACAGCTCAGAGGAGGAGAGGATTTGTGATCTAGAGATCTGGAAAGAGAAGGAAGCTGCAGGTGGCTGGAGAGATGGCTCAGAGGTTAAGAGCGTTTGTGCTCCTGCAGAAGACCCAGGTTTGATTTCCAACACCAACAAGGAGGCTTACAACCATCTGTAACTCCAGCCCTGGGGATCCAACACCCTCTTCTGGCCTCCCCTGGTACTGCATGCACGTGGTACACAGACTTAGAAGCAGATAAAACACACATACGCATACAAATAAATGAACAGAGAAGGTGGCCACAA